TGTAGAAATGAATATAATAGTAGATTTTTATAAATTTTGCAATGTGTTATACTACTTTACTTACAAGCAGGACACGCATGACTATCGACTTTCCATTACATTTCTCTTATGACTCATTCATAAACATAAGTCATTATATGTATATTATAGTTTTACATGACAATAAATAAATATAATAATGTATCCTTCCTAATATCAACTTTCAGATAATTAGCGTAAATATATTACACCGACATTCGATTCTACTTAAAAGTAACGAAATTATGTCTAAATTTTTATTAAAAAATATACGAAATTTTAACTATTTTAAACACTTAAAAAAATTCTTTTGATAAAGATTTTATTTTTAAAAAGTAAGAAGAGTTTATATTAAAACGTCAAAGTAGTGCATCTTCTGCATTTCAAGTAAGGATCATCTTTAATTACAGTTTTTAAAACAGGTTGAAGACCTCAGTTTTTAAATATATCTTAGTCAAAACTTTCATAAACATGACATGATTATGATGTATTAAATCTTACCAACCGTGGATTTCGTGAATGCAATTGTTGTTGTTTTATATATTTATATCTAAAGAATTGTAAATTTTTTAAAATAAAAACTCTAGCTTATTTATCTCACTTTGTTATCTACTTTCACGAATCACTACATATATCACATATAATAAATTTTTTTGCGATTTTTCTCTATATATTTTCTTTCTTCTTCTTCTTCTTCTTCTTCTTCTTCTTCATCTTCCTCTTTGTTGTCAACAAATTCTTTCTCTTTTCATTCCTATATTCATATATTTTCTAAACTGACCTTCAATATTTCTTACCCGTCTTAAAACATTTGTCATACTGTTTCATATTCACCATGCCAAGAGATTTTTGCCTTTAAGCAAATAAGAAGGAGAAAGTAAGAAAAAAAAAAAAGACAGAGAAAGAGGGAGGAGAAATACAAAAGAATGGGCCAGCTGTGTGAATTATTTAGCTGCAATTTCTAAATTCGTGTTTTAATATATTTCAATAAAAGGTTTCGCATAAATTAGTTTTATTATACAGTAAAACCTGTCTAAAACGGAAACCTGCCTAAACCGAAAAATTCTTCGAAATGGAGCGATTATCTTTTTTGTATTTAAAAAAACCTGTTTAAGACGAAAACTTGTTAAAAGCGGAAAAAATATTGAATACTCTGCGGTTCCGGTTTACACAGGTTTCACGTTAGTAGAAGATATTAGCAGAGTTAGAATTAATTTGTGAAGATTCTTAAAATAAAAAAAAATATATATATATATCCTATTATTAATTAATATAAGATATTTATAATAAGAATCTGCTCTTTAATTGCGTTAATTAATTCAAGATCCTTGAAATAAGAACAGTTTAGTACTTTAATTAATTTATGCAAGAGTTGCGTAACTTTCCCGGCCAAACTTTAAAATTGTGTTTGCCGTCATCTGTTACGAGATTTTCTTTTAAAAATTTCTTTATATTATTAATTATTTTAAAATAATTAAAAACAAGCTTAATTTTGAGGGTGGAGACGAGTTTTATAAAAATAAATTGTAAATGCTAATAACGAGTAAAAATCTTCATTAATTAAGTCCGACTCCGCTCGAGATAAGAAAAGTGACCAACCCTCTCTCCACTCCTTGACCTCTAACCACCAAAATTTAATGGCATCAAGGACCTTAATACAGAAATCTCCCTGCAAAATATTAGAAATTTTCTACAAAAGACACAGGAGTTATTAAACTACAAAGTGGGTAAACAAAATAGTACCCTCTTCACACTATTACATTCATATACACAAGAAAAAAAAAAGCTTGTTTTAATTTCTCGACGTTTCAAGGTCCCCTAAGTCAAAAAATATAAAAACTTAAGGGCCATACTTTTCCCCCTGTTATATAACAAAGGAAAAATATGCCCCCCTCAAAAAAAAATTAGTAAATATTAAAATTTAAAGAGAAAAATATACTAAATTTAATATTTACATTTATAAATAATATCTTATTATTTTCTCTAATGTTTTTAAAATAATAATAATAATAATAATGATTAAAAATTAATAAATTTAATTTAATTTATTCAATGAAACTTCCAATAAAATAATATGTATATAAAAATTTACAGAAGCAATTCTGAAAACATTTATAATGAAAATAAAAATAAAAAATAAAAAATAAAACTTTTATGCAAATTGAAAAAGAATAGGATCGTTATTCATAAGAAGGTTGTTGCTTGCAGCATTTGGTGTTTTTAGAAGATCGATAATTTTATTTTCCAAGAAACCATTTAAGTAATGAATACAAGAAATGTCAAATTCATTTCGACTAAGACAACTTAGAACGAAATAAATATGATATTTTTTTAAGTAAAAAAAAATAATAAAAAAGTAATTTTAATGAATTTTATGGCAGAAAAAAAAACTCTTCAGTCGATAGGAATACATTTTCAGTAATAAAAAAAAATTATAAATAATATATAGTAAAACCTACCAAACCGAAAAAAAAATAATAATAATAATCGGTACAGTGCAATTCCGGTTTACGCAGGTTTTACTGTAATTAAATTAAAAATATCGGAATTAATTTAAGAAAATTTTAATTTTATATTAAAAAAATCAACAACAAAATGTATTTAAAGATTCATTTCAATTATTTTAATGAATTCATTTCATTTAATTAATTTAAAATTAATTCGAATTAACGTTATAAAAAGCTTAATTAAGTTATACGGAAGGTCTTCTTAATCTTCATTAATAGGAAATATATACGATTAAATTTAATTATATTAAAGATTTCGTTGTTATTTTTTTAATACTCTTTATAAAATAAATTAATATATACTTACATAACTGGACATATTTTTAATAATTTAGCTGCATTGGTTTAGCTGCAAAAAATATTTAAAAAAGAAAAGAGTTGATTTTGGGTGTAAAGGAGGAGAAGAACGTTTTAAATGTTCTTCACCTCCTTTTTTTCTCGTAAAGTATTAACTAGTACAAGAATTATTGACGTTAAAACACAGTGTACGCTTGAAGAACTTCAACAAAGGGAGACAATTACAGCAACTGAAACTAGACTGCTATCAATGGAAACGAAGACGAATCGTCCTGTTTATTTTGGCCTGAGACGAGGTAGGAAAGTGTTAAGCGTTCGCACTTCATCTTACTTGTACACTTTAGTTGAAGCGATATTTCTTCTATATATAACTACTATAGCTTTGACTGTCAAGCCAGATGGTCTCAATAGACTATCGTGCATATTGAAAGGGTTGAAAGGTAGTATCCGAAAGAATTCTTCTGTGACGTTTCAATGACTATTACTAACCAAAAATTGATGTTACTCTCTTGTTTTCGAAAGATTTAAAGACATTCTCCATTCTAAACGGTTATTCTAACTCCCTACTATAACTAAATAAATTTAACTTCACCCTACAATTGACTCAAAATTAAACTCGTGTTATCTTAGATATCATCAACATTCTTTAGAAATGGACCTTGGAATTTTTATTAGTTTTACACAGTTCTTTAATTAAAGGATAAGAAGTTAAGCTAAAGGATAAATTTGAAAAAAAAAAAAAAAAAAACCTTTCGATTCTTTTATCAAGCAGAAAATCACTCCCCCCTTTTTTTTAAAAATTAATTAATAGGCATAAGAGAATTTTAAACTTGTTTTCTCCCTATTGATTATAATATAAAACACTATAATTTATATTATTGAATAGTTTAAGTATTATTCTTATACAGTAAAACCTGTGTAAAACGGAATATTTTTCCGCTTTAGACAGGTTTCTTGTTGTTTTTTTTTAACATAGAAAATCGGTCCGTTTAGACAAGTTTTACTGTATAATTTTTATTACGTTTACGAAGATGAAGATGATGATTTTGTTTTTTTAAATAAATCCTTAATTTAAATTGAAAAAGAAATTTAATTAGTAGATTTAAATTTTGCACCTGCTTCTCCTTATCTTAAAAATTTTATATATTTTACTAGAAATTCGATAGTTTTTCCTGATAAAAAACACTTGTGCGATTTCACTAGTGGAATCGAATAACTTATTTTCTAACGACAAAAATCGCAGCAGAGATTTCACAGTTTTGTTGTGAATAAATTTATTTTATTTTATTTTATTATAATATTAAATTGAAAATTGAAAATCTTCTTTTACAATTGATTCAAAACTAATTTGAAGTTTTAAAATGGAACAAAACTTTAATCTTTCTTCTAATATTAAAGAAGTTTAAGGATTATTTTATACAGTTTTTTTTTCTTTTTTTTTTACTATTTTAATGAAGAAAATAATTATTTATATTTATTTATTTATAAGTAATGTAAATAGTTATTTTCTTCCATTAAATTTAGCTTGAAAATTGAATTTATTATCATTTTTTTTAAAATAAAAGTAATAAAGAAAAATCGATAAAAATTCTAAAAAATTTAATTAAATTTATCACAAAATTTCGATTATTTTTATTGTTTTTATTAGTAGAATAATTATTTAGATTATTTACAACGTTTATTATTATTTTTTTTTTTTGAAGAATTAAATGTTACAGGTAATCTAAACAATTATTTTTTCTATCAAATGCGTATAAAATTAAAATTTATAGTATAATTTTTACATGTTTGTAAGAAGAAAAATCTACAAAAATGTTAATATTTTCAATATTTGTAGGTAATTTTCTTTAGGAATTTAATAGGAAACTTTAGTACAGATTTATCTAAATGATCTTTAGTTAAAGTTACATGGAGTACCCCCCCCCATTTACAAAGAGGCAATAACTTTCTCCTTTTCACAAATCTCTCAAGACTGTTAAATTGAATAAAAGGAGATGGAGACAAACATCACCGGAACCGGAAATCAATGGAGTGTCGGAAAACGTCATGGAATGGGGGGAGGAGAAATCGCGCGTTTTTTTGCACCTGCGTCGGGGAAAACCAGTTTCCGACAACCACACCCTTCAAGATAGTCGCTTCTGCGAGAGTTGTTGGTTAGCGACGACGACCACGCGACAGATCGCAGCGCCCCCGATTACCATTCTCCTTATAGGGAGCCGCAGCACTCAACTATTCTCATAGCATCGTCGGAGATGAGACGAACGACGTTACTCCGAGGAGCGGCAACATCGCTATGGTGACCGCTGTAGATGAAGTCCAACCATTAAAACCAACTAATGGAACGGACACGCGCGAAGTCGGCGATGGATCGCCGAGAGAAAGAGGAGAAAGGAATCATCCTACTAAGAAATATCGCTCGAAATCAGTTATATCTACCGATCCACAGAGCCCTTATTATACAAGTATGGGCCCGGGTAAACCGATGGATGTTGAGGAACGTTTATGTAAATCGCCCAGTGTGCCATGCCTTCTCGGATACGATCAGTGTTCAATGGGACAAAGATCATTGCAGGACTACAGAAAACAAGATTCTAGAGAATCTCAGAAGAATAATAATGGTGATAATAAACAGAAAGCTAACGGGGAATTACCTGGTGTACATTTGTCACCCGATGATCCCAAAGTTGCTACAATTAGGCAGCACTACTATCCAGAAGGTGGTTGGGGATGGGTTATATGTACCTGTGCCATTTTAATTCATTGTTTAACTACCGGTCTACACTTCACTTACGGTTTTCTCATCCTAGAAGCGCGTCGAAAATTTGGTAATGAAATTGGAATCGTCGAAGCAGGTAAGTCCAAGTTTAACATATATTATACATAGGTCCTGCGAGAGATAACTGTTGAAGAACGTTACGTCAACTTTCTCTATACACTAGAGATAGGATATTTTAAAATTTTATTACTAAATTTATGCTTTATTTATTTATTTTTTTACTCTAAATCAAACTTCAAACAAACTCGACCCTTGGGAGAGATCCTGTTATGCTTGTTACAATCTTTTTCAGAAAGTAGTAATAACGCTACTTAAATGATTTATGTATAAAAATTTAATTAAAATAAATGATAGAATAACAAAATTTTAAAAGTTTTGACTTATTTTTTTTTAAATAATTCGAGAAATTAAAGTGGAAAATTTGATTAAAAAATTCTCAATAATCGTCGCTTTGTTTATAAGAGCCTAAATGTATTTTACTTGTTTAAATTTTATTATAATTAACAGCGAAGACGTTTCAATTGTTTATTGATAAAATAAGATTAAATTTTAAACTTTAAAATTACATTTAATTGTAATATAAAAGCAATAATTCGATATCGATTATAGTTCAATTTATATTACTTTTAAACAAATTATTCTGAGTTAAATGAACAATTAAATGTTTAAGTATTTTATTTAAAGTTAAATGTTTTCAAATGTTCAAACTAAACTCCGAAATTAATTCTCTAAACTCTTCAAACTTTTATTTACTTTTACTTTCATTAAGTTTTACTTAACAGAATTTTCACATTGTAATTTTCAAGTACACAAATGAAAATCTTCACGTTAACATATAAAGCTTTAACATAAAATTTTATGGTATTTTTT